GTCAAAAGAAATCTGAAGAAAAATTTTAAAACATTTTGAAAAAAATAAAATTAAACATACAAACGATCAAAATTTGTGAAAGGTAGCAAAATCAAAGCTTAGAGAAAGATTTATTATACTGAATGCATATATTAGAAAATAAGAAAACTCTAAAATCAATATCTAAGTTTCCACCTTGGGAAAATCAAAAAGAAAAGCAAATTAAATTTTAAGTAAGCACAAGAAAAAATAGAATAAAAATTAGGCCTGAAATCAATTAAATTACAAGCAGGAAATCAATAGAGAAAATTGACACAACCACAGGTTAATTCTTTAGAAAGATAATTGACCCAGCCAGGTTATCTAAGAAAATGAGGGCAGACACAAATTACTAATAACAGAAATAAAGGAGGGTACATAACTACAGATCCTATATACACGAAAAGGATAATAAAGAAATATTATAAGCAATACTCTGCCTACAACTATAATAACCCATATAAAATAGACCAATATATTGAAAGACACAATCTACCCAAATTTGTACAAGAATAAATAGACAATATTAAAAGGACTATTTCTGTTTAAGAAATTGAACTGATTTTAATAACTTTCCAAAACAGAAAGAAACAGGCCTACATGGTTTCACTGATGAATTCTACCAAATACTTAAGAATTAATTTATATCAATTCTCTACAATTTTTTTCAGAGGTTAGAAGCAGAAAAAATACTTTCTATCTCATTTATTGAGGCCAACATTACCCTAATACCAAGACCAGACAAAGATATTACAAATAAGTCCTTAAACTGATAAAATATATTTTAAAAATAAATGTACTAAAACTTGGAAATAGGCAAATGTAACCAGCCCCACTTGCATTCAGCAATGGATTTCATGATAATATAATATTTATAAGAATCAAGGAGCACAGACAAATACCAAAATAAAACACCATTTTATGCCTACTTAAATTGCAAAAATCTAGAAGTCACATAATTCCAAATGTTGGAGCGAATGTATACTCCAATTTTCATTTACATATTACTTGTGATCAAGTAAATTAATGTAGTCACTTTAAAAAGAAACAGCTTCCAGCTGTAATGACTCATACCTGTAATTCCAGCACTTTGGGAGGCCAAGGCAGACAGATTACTTGAGCCTAGGAGTTCAACACCAGCCTGGCAACAAGGTAAAACCTCATCTCTACTAAAAATACAAAAAAAAAAAAAAAAAAAAAAAAAAAAAAAAAAAAGTGCTGGGTGAAGTGGCATGTGTCTGTAGTTCCAGCTACCCAGGAGGTGGGAGAATCACTTGAGCCTAGGAGGTGGAGTTTGCAGTGAGCCAAGATTATGCCACTGCACTCCAGCCTGGGTAACAGAAGCCCTGTCTCAAAAAAAGGGCAGCAACTATAATGCTATTATGTTGGAACTTTCCAATTTATTGAGTTTCTATGTAACACTGTGCTAAGCACCTTATAAATATCCTGACAACTCTGAGATAAATATTATTTCAATTTGTTAATTTTCTAGCTTATGGATGTCATGACCTGTGAGTTGGGTCTCTTGAAGACAACGAAATGGTTGGGTCTTGCTTCTTTATCCAACTTGCTATTCTATGCCTTTTAAGTGTGAGCATTTAACCCATTTACATTCAAGATTAATATTGATATATGAAGATTTGATTCTGTCATAGTGTTGTTAGCTGGTTATTATGTTGACTTGATTGCATAATTGCTTTATAATATCAGTGGGCTCTGTAGTTAAGTCCATTTTTGTGGTGACAGGTATTACTCTTTCATTTCCATGTTTAGGACTCCCTTAAGCATCTCTTGTAAGACAAGTCTAATGGTAACAAATTCTTTTAGCATTTGCTTGACTGAAAAGAATATTTTTTCTTTACTTATGAAGCTTAGTTTGGCAAAATATAAAATTCTTAGTTGAAATTTCTTTTCTTTAAGGATGGTGAAATTAGGTCCCCAATCTCTTCTAGCTTGTAGAAAGATCTATTGTTAGACTGATGGGGCCCCTTCTCTCTAGCTGCCTTCAAGGTTTTTTCCTTTCATGTTTACCTTGGAGAATCTGATGATTATGTGTCTTCTGGATGGCCATCTTGTATAGTATCTTGAAGGGATTCTTTGAATTTTTTGAATTTGCATATTGACCTCTCTAGCAAGATTGGGAAATTTTTCACGGACTGTGTCCTCAAATACGTTTTCCAAGTTGCTTACTCTTTCTCCTTCTCTTGCAGGAATGCCAGTGAGTCACAGGTTTAGTCTCTTTACATAATCCCATATTTCTCAGAGATTTTGTTCATTAATATTTTTCTTTTAATCTTGTCTGCTTGTGTTGATTCAAAGGGGTAGTCTTCAAACTCTGAGATTCTTTCTTAAGCTTGGTCTATTTTGTTGTTAATTACTATAATTGTATTATGAAATTCCTGTAGTAAAATATTTAATTTCAGAAGTTAATTTTGATTCTTTCTTAAAATGACTATGTCATCTTTAAACTCTTGAATTGTTTTCCTGTTTTCTTTGGATTGTGTTTAAATCTTCTCCTGTATCTTGTTGAGTTTAAATTTGAAGAGAAGAAATGACGAGCATAATGATGAGGCGTATACTAGCAGGTTCTATGTAATGTAGTTAGTTCAGTACAAAAATTGAGGAGAAGGGGTAGAAAAGAATCCAAGTATTTGATTTCTGAAAGTATTGTTTTTATTTACATGGATACATTATCAATTTGCACTTATACATTGCCACCTGCTGAGTCTGTATATGTAAGTAAGTAACAACATGTATATTTGGGTGTGTGTATGCATGTTAGCAAGTGTTAGAATCCATGGTTGCTTGACACTCAATAATTTAATCTTAAGATAATTTTTTAGAAGTAGGGGGAGGTTATTAAAGAGAGCACTTATAAAACCCTGCTTGCCATAACATCTTGAGGGTACTGATATTACAAAAATCCACATTTATTTTAGCGATATGGGATAGAGTTGAGAGCATAAGATTTGGAATCAGATTGCCTGAGTTCAGACCTTCAGTGTACACAATTACCAACTTTGAGACCTAGGAGAAGACATTTGCCACTTCTATGTCTAGGTTTTTTCATCTGAAAAGGGGAGATAATAGCATCCAGTTGATAGAATTGTGGTAAGAAAAAAATCTGTTAGCAAAAGTAAAACACTAAACCAATGTCTGGCATATATAGTAAATGCTCGATAAATGTTAGCTACTATTATTAAGGTTTCTCTCATCTTTTTTTATGCTCCTGAATTACATTTGTTTTACCATTATGTTTTCATTATCTTTCTATCTATAGAGATATCTCTAATTCATATTTCAAATATAGAAAATTAAGAAATCAGATAAAATGTAATTTAATGAAAGTAAAAGTCAATATATTTTCAACAACTTTTGTTAATACTTTGAAGTCCTAAACTTCATAAAAAATTAAAATACCCTTCATTTAAAAAATTTTCTTTCATCATGTTTTCATTCCTCATGAATAAAAAGTAAGCTCAGAAATGCAACAGACTTCAACTACAGGCACACAGGTCTTTACAGAATTATTGTAAAATGATTGTTGAGTTTAATATTCTTTCTCAACAACATATCAATGTTAACAACTTAAGTTAGTGAAAATACTATTTTAAATATCACTTGTAGACTTGATTAACCAATTTAGCGATGTTTCTGAAATACCAGCATTAGTGATGTCAGTCTTATCCCAGTATCCTCCTCTAGCTCTGGTCCTCTTCATTGGGCTGCAGTTAAGGTCCTTTCCATACAATGCTAATTCCCTAACTCCCAGCTTCTCCAGATATGCCATAAGGGATCACTCTGGAAATGTTATTGCTCCAGGCAATTTGCTGCCACTTTGCTGTGCACATGTAAGTGAAATCACTGAAACGCTCAGTATTTCAAAATAAAAACAATTCAGTACATTATGTTACCCTTAGAATATAGAACATAATTCACTTGCATTAACCAGTACTTTTTCCTTATGTCTGCCATTCTGCCTAAATAATACTCAAATATTTCATCAGAGAAGATTTTATCAGTGATCTCAGAAAACAAATTTTATGTTCCCTGGACGAAGTTAAAAGGAACCTTTTATCACATTATTGCAATCGACTCCAATCTTGATGGTCTTTATTCAGCTGTATATAAGACTACAAATTTGACTAAATAAAAAATGTAAAACATTTGCTAAAAGGTGACCCTTATTTATTTGTTGATTTCCTCAAGACTTCCCTATGGGGATTTAAAGGCTTTGACTTGGGTTCCAGGGTTTTCAATTCACAATGTACATGACTTCAGGTAAATTTCTTAACTTCTCTGAGTCTTGGCTTCCCATTTACCATTGTGCTTAGGAGTACTCCTTCCTGTTTATAAAAATGCCAGCATCATTTAACACCTCACCTGTATCATTTAATACAGTTTGTGTCAAAAGCAAAAGGCAGAATTATTACTTTTATCAGCTCGCAAATGAAAAAATTAAATATCTTTTCTAAATCATCAAACAGGTCTTTGAGCCAGGTTTTTGACTATCATAGACTTCTGTTCCATGAGCCTAAATTACTTATCAGAATTTTTTTAAATGCTGTTTTTTTAAAAGAATTTTTAAATAAGACAGTATCACAAAGTGAGTCCCAAGACATTTTCTAAGTTTCTAAGTTAATTTCAAGAATTTTTAACATATTATTCATTTTGCATTTTTATTTTTAATCACATTCGTAAGTATCTCGTGATCAATCCAAAACCAAAGAGAAGCTATCAAAATATTTCTACATTTTCTACATTGATAAACTTTTAAGTATCAAAAATTTCACCAAAGAAATACTTGATCAGATTAAAAGACTGGTTGAAATGAAGGTATGAATCATTATGTTAATATTTCAATATATGCTTCAATTGAAAATCATAATTTGAAATATAATGTTCTTTTTAACAACTTGCTTTCTATACATTAAAGTTCCCTGTTTACTTATTTTAGCTCAAAAACATAAAACTTATTCTACCTTCAATCCATTGCAGTGTCTTGTTTTCTTATTCTCTGAAGATTGTGCCTCTGCTGTTTTATCCAAATGTTGATTTTGGTCCATGATTGAAATATAGATATCATATGAATATTTTCAGTTGTTGTTGATGCTTCTTTTGAAACAATCACCTATTAAGGAAGAAAAAATATAGTTTATTTTATTTTTTACAGTATATAATTTAGAAATAAGAAAAGCCACAAGGCCATCACCAATCAATCAACCATTCACTAACATTCATTCAGGGTCTACTATGTCTTGACCACTCTGCTAGATCAATGCTGGACACAAAAATAGGAAAGACAGACACAAATTCTAGCCTAAGGATATTATAACTTAATAGAAAAATAAATTTGTGGAGAGAAATTTGAAACAAATAGGTAATATAGAATCACACGCCAGATTACACGAACATTTTACATTATAGAAACTTAAATTATCTTTTCTACACACCTATATTGTAAAATTTATAAAAGCAAATATATGTTTTCTTTATCCTTATAGTTTTAAAATGTGCCAATTAGTCCCTTGCACAGAGTAGATATTCAAAATGGATACAAAAACAATATAAACAATTGAATCAGAATGGCCTCAGACAGTTTAATAAAGGAGACACCACTGGAATCAGGCTCAAAAGGCAGACAGAATTTGGATTTGTTAAAAAGAGCAAAGTGTACTCCTAGTACTTCTCAGAGCAACTCTGGTATTACTTGACTTTACCACCATCATGATGTTACTTTATTTTGATTTTGTTCATTTCTTTTCTAAGAGAAAATGCATATAGTTGAAAATGCAAATTTAAAAAAACCAAAGATTCTTCCTCTGACTCTTGTCCCCTTATCCAGAAATATAATATGCATTTTTCAGTAAGTACATAATATTTTCCTTTTCGACACAAGTCCTAGCATACCTTAAACATTATTTTCTACCTTTTTATCTTCTCTATATACTTAACTTTGTGTTAATAAAAGTCTTTTTCATTTTTCTTATGGTAGCAGGGTATTAAGTTGTCCATAATATATGTAACTGGTTCTATATTAATCAGCATTTAGGTTGTATCTAATCATTTCATATTAAAGATGTTCTTAATATATTGTGTGTGCCATTTTGGTTTTATGTGGCCATATCTGTAGAATAAGTTCAACAACTAGAGTTTTGGAGTCAACGTATAAGGGAAATTGTTATTTTGAAAGTCATTAAGGTCCTATTTTAAAGACTAGTAAAATGACTTCACTTTTTACTTCAATTGACTCTTTTATATAGAATATAATGTGTTCTTCACGGAGTTTTAGAAATACATTCTAGTTCATATGTGTGTAAACAATACATATTTATATATCTAAGATATCTATATAAGCAGACACAGCATAGATACATGATATTAAATAGGGCACTAATTATAAAATATGTGTGATATATGTTATATGTACAGTTGATACTTGTTACAATAGTTATGTTTAATAAAGTTGCTGGGAACACTGAACATCTCTCCAAGGTTGTTCCTTGGAGAGATGTCAGGGTAGTTACGTGCCTGTGTGTCTCTGGTCACAATATTTTTGTAAAATGTTCAATAGAGAACTGTGTTTTCTGTATGTTTTGTTTAAAGACACTTTATTTAATACATACTCTTGATTATTAACATTGAATTAGTTGTCAATAACACTGTAGTTCAGGCTTAGAGGAAGCTTATACAGCATATGTGTCTTTTCCCTCGGTTACTCTCATGCACCGGACAGCACTCAGCACCATCTTTGGGGCCCATTTGAAACATTAAACTCAGAAACACAAAACACAAAAGTGCCAAAAATGTGGCAACAAACACACTGTGAAAAGGATCTTTGTTTATCATATGTGAGCTGAAACAAGAAGACAGAGCTTCACTTTGTTCAACCTCAGTTAGGAACATGGCAGCTCAAATTTTTCACCCCTTTGCACATGCATGTGAATGCCCATGAAAGCCCAGCAGTACTGATTTTGATGTCACAAAGGAATTTTAGTGAGTAGATAAATTTTCTTACATAGAATTTGTGAATAATGCGGCTCGACTCCATATTTCATTCACTAATTTATTCAACAAGGGCTTATTGATTCTGAATAATATAAATATTATAATACATATTTAAGGGATAGTGCATAAATGTGGAAGCAATAAATAGGATATTATCACTTATGTATATGTGAGTATATATAAACATATGGTTGAATACAGAAACCCATATATGTGTACCTCTAAGTGAACTCCAATTATTACATTTTGTGTGTGTGTGTGTTTTATGCATGCCTGTACCTGGGTTGGGTTTCTGAGTTCAGTGAGTGAGGAAAAAGTCAATGACTGGGTAGTCTCAAGGTAATAAGCTGTCCTTTGATAAATTTCACCCCACTTTTTCCATGAATATCTGTTTCTATTTCTTTCTTCATAATTTAAATATTAGGAAATCCTTTTTTTAAAAAAAATTATGTAATAGCAAATATCTTTGTATGACTTGCAAGGTGGATACTCTTCCCTTAGTTTTAGGCTTTTATTTTCTCTCTACTAACAAATATTCTTGAAGTCTTGAAGGCTATTGTCCCACCACTCCAAACCTGGTTTATTTCAATTGATTAACTTCTGTTTGTCCTGTCTCCCACCTTTCTTTCTATCCTATGTATTTATCCTAAGAAACTTTCAAAGATCCCTTTAACCACACAAAATAAAATTCATAGTTTCTATTTGAGGGTCTTCACAACCTAAACCAAGCCCGTGATTTTAGAACCATTCTCAAAATACCCATAGCACCTGCAGACACATCGAACTACAGTCCCAAGAAGAAAGCTTTCTGCCCTCCTGTATGTTTCTTTCAATCCTGAATGTCCTTTTCCATCTCTTGGTTGTAATGCTGATCCAAATTGTACCTCTTCAATATTTTCATACTTACCTCCTGTTGATATTATCTCTCACCCTGCTGTGCCAGTGGAGAATATACCTAAAGTCATTACTTTTCTTTGTATTTCCCCTACTTTCCCAGACAACTATTCCACATCTCTCTCCTAGATCTTCAGATAAAATATGGAGAAAAAAAAGGTGGACACTTTGTTCCTCACATCACCAAAATGTTAAATAAGTGACTACAAAGTAACTAGAAAGTTGGAATACTAATTTAGGCTTGACTAAATGCCACACTTTCTAATTCACCTTGACATTTAACATATGTTTCTCTGAACATATTTTTTTGTCTTAAACTTCAAATGATTTACATAAATGAATTTTGAGGGCACCGTTTGTTAATAAGATAGATAGAGCCATAGGCATTTGTATTTAGTATTGCATCTCTTTCCTGAATAATTCAGTTCTTCCAAATCTGATAGGAGTAGGGTGCAGGGCAGAATCTTATCAGCCTCTACTTATCTGTGTCAAGCTTTTAATACTTAATGAGTTATAGAAAACTAGTTTAGGCAAAGTGACCCAATTTCTACTATGTACCTATGCAACTGAGGAGCAAAAAGGAAAAACAGCATTTGCTAATTTCTTAGACCTTTTATAGGGGAGACATCCCCCATCTCCACCTTACTTTCACAATAAAAACAATTGTCTTACCAAGGCAGACACTTTTCTGAATTGGAGAAGGGAATTAATACTTATCGAGGCCTTAGTTCATGTCAAAAACTGTGCTGAGAATACTTTTTGCTTATTTAATTGGAGATAAATTATCTAGAAAATATATTTCCCTTAATCCTGTATCAAACTTGAGTTGAAACAAGGAAGTTGAGGTGGTTATGTGACACCTATTTTTTTTATGTTTGCCAGTTCACTCTTCCCTCTACTCCCACCCTTGGCCGCCTTCATCCAGCTAAGAAGACATCAAAGAAATAAGGAGTCTAGTGTGATCAGTCAATGTAGTTGATAAAAATAATTATCCGTAGCATATTTTAAGAAGGTAACTAGAGCTTCATTTTTGTGACTTGATTTTTATTTGTTTAGAAATTAATAAGACCAAGATTTGAAACTTTATATTTAAATATATAAAGGTATTATTTTCTCTACTTTATTTTTACCAGTATAAAAATCTGAGGCTCTTCTACTCCCAGAAGGAATATTTACTATGTTTTGAGAACTCAGAATGTAAGCATGTGGGAGACACAGAGCATAACATTTGTAATATTTATCAAGACCATCAAAATCTTTTTCCATGAAATTAGTGAAAATTTCTTACATAAAATATACGTTAAAATTAGAGAATCTCAATGGTTCTTACCTGGACTTAGAATCCTACAGCAACTGCAACAAGTCCACCCTTTATTCCTCTTAAAATAGTTGGCTTTTTGAAAACAAGTCCAGTGATGATTAACCATCTTATTATGTCATTGCTCTAGTCAAACAGATAAAACCTAGTTAGTTTTAAGAGTTCACCCCAGCTGCCAATATTTAAAGATTATATTTCTCAGAATTCTCACATTATTTTATGTTAATCTTAACAAGTCAACCTTACTTTTGGGAATGGCTTTTACTTGTTTATTCAATCAAGTTGGTGGCATAAGATTTTTTTCTTTAAAAATACGAATACAATAAATTATTCAAGGTACTCAAAACTTCCAAATAGGAAATAATTTAAGACACATAAAAATATTCTTACAGGTTACACTGGCATTTACAAATTAAAATATACCCTCTTTGCTTGGTACATAGGTATGGTTCTAATATGGTATATATGGAGACTGGATATACCATCTGGAATAGGAAAGTCCAAATTAACTGCAATACCATTTTTCTGAATGACAAAAATTAAGACTGCTTTGTACGATAGATTCTTTACATCAAAACCTGAAAGAATTATTAATACCACAGTTTCCTTTTATTGACTTGACTTTTGGAGAAAGGAAGAGCTTAACTCAGTTAAAGTTTTCTTGAGTAGAGATGAAGTTTAATTAATTCAATAACTCAAACATTTTAGACTCCCATATACTTCAGACATTAAGCTCTCTTCTGAAATAAAGTACAGACCCTTCTCTCACATAAATATATGTATTTCAGAAAAGTGTGAATATATGTGTGTGTATATACACGCAAACATACATGTATACATATATACACACACTTACATTTAGACACATATACACACACATATATATGTGGTAATGTGAGATTGCATATATGAGAATATGGTTACCCCTTATCATTCATGTGACATTTGTTGATATGGTTGCAGCAAAATGTATTTGATGTCTGTGTCACAGTCATCTGATTGATTAGTTCTATTCTTGGTTAATTATTGAGAGTATTGGAATCATGAGACAAACTAAAGAGTGTAGAGGGGAAGAATGATTGTGCAAAACTGAGAAATGTAGACCCAAGGCCAAAACATTAGAGTAAGGCTTCCAAATACTCTGCTGAGTAAGAATCTACTGGCGAGTTGTCAAAATAGCAATCCAGTCCCATACCCAGCAGACTCTGGCTCAGGAGACCAAAGATTATGCCTTTTAAATAAGCACTTTGAAAAATTTTCACGTACTGCCAGATTTGGCTATCATAGCAGGAATGCAGAACATTTTCCATCATTTTTATGGACTTCCTTTTATTTACAATGGGAATACAGTTTGGGTTTTCTCAGGGTAATGGTTTTCTCCTCAGACATCTATTTCATTGCAAACACATCAACATGTTTGGAGACTAATATATATATTATATACAATGAAGATAAAACAGTACAAACTAACAACCCTTTTAATCCTAAGCTAAAGGTGCCAGTTGTAAAATTCTTCAATATTTTCAGAGATCAAAGAGCATTCTCTGTGCCCCTTTTCTCTTCCTAATTGTGTAAATAATTAGACTGCTCATTTTGTGGGATCATGGAAAAACATGAGTACACCAGGGGAAAGATGTTGCGAAACATCTTTCAAGATCAATATTATGCTAACAGTCATGCATCAATTAGATGACAAAAATGATTGAAAGAATCAGCTGAATTTTTTGCAGGAACAACTATCACAGCTCTGATGAAATATCATGGCCTTTGAAGTCTGAAAGACTTAAATGCCAATATGTCTCTGCTACGTGCCAGCAGTATAAACATCAGTAAGTTATTTACCATTTCTGAGCATCAGTGCGCTCATCTATAAAGTAGGAAGTCAATATTTGGAATAAAGATTTAGTGTATGTAAAGTGCCTTACATAATGCCTGGCACATTATAGATTCAATACCTAATTAGACTAATTGTATGAGATTTGCATATTATATATTTTTAAAGCAGTTAATTTATATTAAATGAGTACAAATAAAATCTCTGAGATCTGTATCCTGTAGATATGTCTAATAGGTTTTAGCCCCAGAGTTCTCATGTGTGTACCACAGGCACACCTCAAGAGGGAACCATCAGGCTCAGAGCAGATCCGCCAGTACCTGAACATTTCAGTTCCGTTGGTGCTGATAAGAGACAGCTCCAGAAAGCTACACTCTCCTGGAAAGAACCCCTATTCTACATATTATTCTCCAAACATGTTTCTATACCCACCAATGCTCAAAGCTCTGGCATCATCAAGACCAATATTACCATGGCAATTATCTCTCTTATGTTAGTGACCACCAAAAGAAGGTAAGGATTCACTGATGACTCATCACCACTTCTCTAATCCCCATAAGGCTCTGCACATTCCTATTTTTGCCCTCATCTTCTCTCTCACTCCCAATCCTGGACTGCAATTCTTCTCTTGAGTTTTCTGGAACTCATCACTAATCATGACTGAAACTCCCCTTACCTTTACCTCTTCTCTAAGTTATTTTGCTTCACTTCTGGCTTGAACTTAAAAATTGGTCTTCCCTGAGACACTCCTCTCCCACAGCAGTGATACACAGGGGTTGCCTTATCCCCTATATTGCTGCAAACCAGATGGACTGGTTTCCAATGTGCCTCACTTTGCTAGTTCCTTTACATTTCCCCACCCTTTACACTCATAATCCACAGTTTTGGATCTCATATTAAAAGACTCTATCACTTATTCTTCTTGTTGAAATCATCTATCAACCCTCAGTCATTTCATGACAATTTTAGCTCTCGATTCAAAGCCATTCTCTCAAAATGCTACTACGATTTTAATTATTCATGATTGTGATGACCACGAACAGAATCTTTTTAATTCTCTTTTTTTTGTTTTTTTAAATTTTTAGCCTTCTGCTCAATGATCTTGGCTTCTACCTACTACTATGGGCATATCCTAGACTTCACACCACTGTAATCTCTCCATAATATCAAAGATTGGAGCACCACTCTTTATCATTCCTAGTTCACACTCAGTAACACCCTAGATCCACATGCTTCCACTGACCAGGATATATAACTTACAATTTGATTTTGCCAGAGATTTCACTGTTGCTTATCTATACATCTGGGTTAATTTAATGGTCATGGTAATCACTCTCTTCTATATAATTTCATGTAATTTTGACTATTTTGCATTATTTTAATTGCATGTGAAAGCCACAATCTTGATGAAATTTAACTCTCAAATAACTGCACATTTCCCTCATGAAGCTAAATGTAACTGAGGAAAATCTCTTAACCATGCTGACTTTAAACGTATGATTAGGAAGCCCAAATGGACCTTTTATTTTGCCAAGAAGTCGTTTACATCATTTTGCATTCTGAGTATTTTGTGCCTTCATCTTTTTTTTTTTTTTTTAAATTCTAATACATCTCTTCCCCACCTTCAGCTGATAACCTATTTGACTGAAAAATAAATAAATAAATAAAGAAGAAACTTCAAAAGCTTCCTTGACCATACTTATCTACATAAAGTCCCAGTATCACATGGTCTACCTTCATGAACTACCCAAGTTTAAGCTAAGGCCAATCTCCACTTGCATATGACATTGACTCTTCCCCTTGTGTTTTTAAGGATATCACTATCCTCTTTTTAAAGAAATGTTTCCATCAGCATGTAAGCATGCCGTCACTTTTTCATCTTCCAAAAATCTTTCGATCCCATTTTTTCCTAATATTGCCCTATTTCTGTGTTATTTTTACAGAGAAATAGCGTGTTTAATTATTGCTTTCAATCTCTCTTTCCATTCTCCTTGAGCACACTCTTATCAGGTTTTTGCCCCCCAAAATTTCCACTGAAACTACTTTTCCTAAGTCATAAATTACCTAAATGCTACATCTAATAGTCCTCATCTAACTTGAGCTATTAGCAGCAATTTTCAGAACTGAGAATTCCCTCCGTAAGCAAAACTTTGCAGGACACTACCCTTTGTGGTTTGCCTTCTAACTCACTGACTTACCTATTTACACCTCATTTACTCTAAATTCTTTATTTTTGTCTTCCAAATTGAAGCATGTCAGAAAATAACCTTATTGTGTGTGTTTGTGACTTCATCTATTCTCATATCTTTAAATCCTATCCATATGTTGAAAATTCCAAAATTTTTTCTCTAGCCAAGTTACTCATGAACTCCAGATTTATCCATTGTCTTCTCACCATCTTCCTATATATCTCTAATAGGCATCTTACACTTAATATTTTCTAACCTGGTATCTTTGTCTTCCCTTCCCAAACCTCTCCTCTTATAATAATCCCCATTTCCAAGGATTATTGTCCAGGGAAGACAATAATCCCCATACATTGTAATTCTATCATTCCATTTGCACACATGCGTGCACATGTGCACATGCACACACACACAATATTAGAATCATTCTTCTCTATTTCTCACACTCATATTAGGCTCTAATTTCAAAATATAACCAGAATCTGATGATTTTTCACCTCCTCCACAACTTTCAGGCTGGTCCTAAATTATTGCAATACCCTCATACTTGCATCTCGGCTTTTCTCCTGACCACTCACAACCCCTCTTCCCCAACCTCATTCCCCTGTGTAAATCTTAACACATCAGTGAGGGTCATACCATGTCACAGCTTTGCTCAAATCCCCCATTGGCTTCACAGATCAACTCAAAAATCAAAAGAACAGCTTTAAGGCCTTATAAGTTATACATCCTCTACTGAGGATCTTTGTTCCTAGTTTTCTTTCCGTCTGGAATGTTCTTTCCCTATAGCTGCATAGCTTACGCCTTCACCATATTCTAGTACCCACACAAATGACACTTTTTCAGCGAGGTCTTCTCTAACAGTTTTTTAATATTCCTCCCTTTGGTACTCAATTATTATTCTCTCATCATCATACTATAAATTTTACTCACATGTTTTGTTTACTGCCAGCCTTCCTTTGTCTCAACAACCATTAAGTTATGCTGCAGAGGAATCTCCAGACGAACAAAGATAGGTTTTTGTTTTCCTTGTTCACTGCTGTATACTCAGTTCCAAGAATAGTGTCTCATACCTAGAAG